GACACACATTCGACCCGCTTTACCTCCAGCTTGCACAGCCACGATTTTTTCACCATGCCACCTGTTTACGATCTTGTGCTTTTTAACCCGGACTGAAAGGACTTTGTAGTCATCGACGGTCGGATCTAATCTACTCACAGAAACAAGCGACCTACGTCTAGCAGCCAGCCTCGGCTCGCAGCCCATCCTTGGGAACTCCTTCCTGCGTCCAGACAAGCGCTGGAGAGAGCAGTGATTTTAAGGTGAACGTGCTTACTTCAGGTGTTCTTAGCGGTTTCAAATGTTCGGGTTTGGAGAAGGAGGAGACCTCAGTGGATACAGCTCGGGCTCCCCCCGGTAGTACAACCTCCTCGAACATAGAACACTGCAAGGAATCAGTGCTGTTTATCCTAACTGTCTCATCTCTGGTGCTGCTTCCCGTTTTCCTTGCTCATCCTCGCCAGCAAAGCTAAGGAGGGCTGCAGTGTCAGAACAGCAGACCTCTGCTGGCAGTCCGTCTCCAAACGGGAACGACACCATCACCAGCAATCAGCCCGCCTGGAAGCAAAAAACCAGGAATGCGTTCCCTTGGAGCCGAAAGCGTAGAGCGAGGCCTCGGATCACACGCCGCAACAGGTCGGAAACGACAACAGAGTCGTTACCCATGGCCATAACAAAGCGCTCGTAAACAATAAAGAGTCACGAGATTGCGTTACCGGTGGCCTTCCTACCCAAGGCAAACGCTGATGGGAAACAGCCAAGTGCTCACCTGAGGCAGTTTTGTCTGTAGACACGAGAATTTAGTAAAGTCTGGTGGCACAAATTCCCACTTGGACCCAAGAATCTTAACTGATTTAAAAGTTAAAATGTCACCTCTGTGACTCTCCGAAACCATTTTTTCGTCCATCGACTCATTCTGGATCCTTGGTCTAACACCCGCTACACTTCAGTGATACCACCCATGCCTCTGCAGCTTGGGCGTGTGAGCTATGTGCTGAAATCTACAGCTAAGTCCTACCGGTCTGTGCGAATGCATGTGTTACTGTTACCTGATGTTCTACCCCACTCCAATGGTCCATATTCATCGTCATTAGACTCGCCAGAGGTCAGAGAGACCAGAGAACTGCGCCCACCAAAACGGAACGCTCCTCCCAGTCCAAGAGCACCTTCAGATCCCAGCAGAGCCCAACTTAGCAGGACACCCTCAGGAAACAATCAACGACGACCGCAGCAAGCAACGGAGCGCGTAACGAGGCTCTAAGTGGGAGCTGTGCCTCGACCATCGGCGTCGTATCAGCTGCGTCGTAGGGTTGTAAAGATACTATCTAGCCGATGCTCAGGTGGACCGGCGCTACCAGAGCCGGCCGCACGATTGAATGGGATCGCCTGAAGCACGTGCATCCGATACCCCTACCAAGCGGCCGAAGCCGGCAGAAACTATGTCCGAGGCTCTCAAAGAGCCCCTACACAACGTGTTTGAGACCATGGCCCTCAGCAGCCTCACTGGCGTGCCCCATCCCAATCCCGTGAACTGCTCAGAAGGTGTATCATCATATGACAGCTTCTGGTAGACAACCACAACGCTGACGCAGGCACAAAGGGGATATGACGCGTTTGAACATTGTTGGAAACATTTGGGATAAAACAACTTAACTTCATATAGACCATAGCTCCAGAGTTTGTAGACACTTTTATGTGGAAATGTTACATATAGCTTTAACTTTTAAGGCTTGTTGTCTGACTACAGTCTGCAACTGAATAACTGTGTCAGTGACACCATTAACCTATGAAAACAGTTAGAATAGTTGTCTGTACATCCACAGGCACACTGCAAAGAACAACTGATATTAGCTAATTCAGCTAATTCAAATGTCATTTGTAAACAAATATAGGATTAACAACTTCATGGCAGCTTTACATTTCCTGTTTACAAATATTATGATGGGAACTATTGTTCCAAAACTTAGAGAATGTCCCCCAAATAGAAGGAGGGAGGGCACAACTGTCTCAATTTTGTCTGAGCAGGGGCTCACAACGCCAGACTATGAACATCCCTGGTCTGGACAGAGCATCAGAGCCAGTGGAAAAAAGCAGAAATTGGTGAGCAACCTTTCCAAACTCTCCACTCGCTGCTGAAGCTGTCGGTTCTCCTCTAGCAGCACTTTGTTCTTCTGTCTTAGAAGGTCCATCTGGCTGCCCTGGGTCTCCACCTAACACAACACAAGACCCTTATCAGACGACTTGGACTGTGTATACAGTATAGATTCTAAGACTGACGTGGTACTTTAAAGACCCTTTTTACTGCAGTTAGAATAAATGTAGTGACAAAATTAGGACTTTAAATCATTATTTTGTGATGCCTCTATGCATAAGACATTATGTTATGACCTTCATGCGGAGATCAGTCAGGGTGGTGCTGAGCTCCATGCTGCGTCTCTCCTGGTTGCGCTCCATGTCCTGAGCTTCCTGCAGTTGGAGTTCAGTGTGTCGTAAGGCTTCTGGCAGAGGCTCCAGCTCCGCCAGCCGACCCAGCAGCTCTCTGCGCACCTCCTCTATCTCCTGTTCCAGCTCCCCCCGCACGGCCAGGGCTTCCCGCTCCGCCTGAGCCAGCCGAGCACAGTACTCGTCCGCCTCCGCCCGGGTTTTTCCAACCTGTGCAGCGTTGAAAGGAAAACTTTTTCATGAACATGAACAGTGTCCAAGGGACTGTAATCTGCTGTGCTATCACAGCCTCCTACCTTTGTATTGCTAGTAATACAGTCTCTTCATATACCTGGATCTTGTAGCTGTCCAGCAGGCTTTCATATTGCTTGATGGAAGCTTTGACCTGCTGGAGCTCTGACTGAGACAAGGCCAGTTTCTCCTCCACTGCAGATGCTGTAGCCTGACAGGAACACACAGCTCAAGCTCCAGTTATTAAATTAACAGGACAGTCCATCCTCTTAATGTAATACAAGTCAACGTAAGTCTGTTAGAATGAACAAGACTAGGTAAAAACCTAGTACATGACTGGACCGTGTATGAAATGCAAGATGGCTTTTCATTTGAAAGGAAGTGGCGGCATTTGGCCAACTAATGGTGTAACTTCATCACAAACTTTTGTGTTCATAGGGCTGGACCCCCAGTTGTGGTTCAGTCAAAGGGTGGGATAGGAAGGTCACAAACAAATTTGACATATGCGGAAATTCTAATAAAGGCAAGGTCAGGTTAACATTTAATAAATGTGTTCTCACTGTAAAGGGAATGACAGCTTTCTGTGGACTGTTGGGTGTTTCACCTTGAGGGACTGGTTCTCCAGTTTGGCAGCAGTGCTCTCTGTGCTCAGTCCGTGCAGGTGATCCAGCAGAGCTTCTCTCTCCACTCGGCCTTTCTCCTCTGAAGTCTGCAGCTGCTCCGTCAGCTCTGTTACACGGCTGCTCACATTACACAACAGCAGTCATATTGCCATTTATTTATTGAAAATGGTGGAGTTCTGAACCAGAACCATCAGTAAAAAAAATGCTCATTAGGGTTTTGTTGCATCTCAAAAAGTGAAATTCTTTCTCTAGTTGCAGCAGGTACAATGATTTCACAACAATGGGAGCTTCATGCTTTATAAGAAACATTCTATGTCAATTAGATTTGAAGATGAATTACCACAGGTACTGGGTGGGTACAACAGCTGCACAATGTCCCAGTTGGCATCTCTACAAAATGTGACACCCAATTCGCCCAACCGTACAAACAGATGCAGTGCGAGTGATTTATGCTGCAGTTACCTGTTCAACAGCGACAGTTCAATCTCCAGTTTACTCTTTTCTTTCACTTCTTGGGCATGGTGACTCTGCCAGCTCTCAGCTGCTGACAGTGCATCTGCCACCTGCTTCTCCTGTTAAAAAGAATTCCAAACTGACTTTTTTTGTTTTTTGACAGTAGATGCAAAAGAAGTGTAGGTGTGTGTGTGAAGCTTTCTTTAGATGAAGAGGAACTGAAAGAAACAACCAATGCCAAGAGAAATAAAAGAGCAGTTCAGTATGTCAGTAATCTAGGTACAAATACCTCGTGAGGTCTTTAATTATATGAACCAAACATGTCCTGTGTGTCTAGTCAATCTAGAGCTTTAGTAGAGCAGCCTGCCAGCTCTGTGACACAGCCCTACCATGTCTATGAGCTGGACGCTTAGCTGGTCCGCAGTACCCTCGCTGCGCTCAGCTCGCTGTTTCTGGGCTCGCGTGGCTCGTTTCAGAGCGTCGCGGTCTGCACTGGCCTGCTGCTTCAGCCTCGCCAGCTGCTCTGTCAGATGCTCCATCTCCGCCTTCTGCTGGTTGGCTGCACGCTCCAAGTTCTGAACCAACGGAAAGTACAAAAACAAGGATTACAGCTGGGTTCACTGCTTTCCATTTGTACAGCAAGTGCTCTATTAGACAACAGTTAAACAATCTTGAGTCTGACTGCAGTGCCCTCAAACTTCATCAACAAGTCTGTAATTAGAACACACAAAACAAAAAATAGATATGACACATGATGGCATGTGCCAGGAGGGAGAGATCATGACCATGACAAACCTTTATCTGCACAGTAAGCCGGTTGTTCTCAGCTTCTTTGCTGCGGAGCTGTCCTTGTAAATGAGCTCTTGTTGACTCCAGGCTCTTGGACAAATCAGCTGTGCTCTTGGCATTGTCCTGCATTGCCAAAATCCAGCAGAATTTACATTAGGGTCAAACATGTATTCTGATGTTTGACCAACATGGCTAAAGCATTAAATGCCCCAGTCAGTGCTTGGAAGTCCTGTTGTCCTGGTGACAATAAAAATAACACCAGGGACACAAAGTGTCTGGGACAATTGTGGGACAGTAGAGAAAAGTATCAATACGAATGAAATTATTACATTTATGCAACATGGAATATATGCCATTTTACATGTATCATTTTAATTATTAGGTGTTTCAAATTCGAAAAAAGTAAGGTGGCACAGTACATCACATGTGCTTACACACAAAATCAATCATATAACGAGACCAGTGTTGCCAACTTGGAAATTTACTCGATAGATGTAGCACTTTATAGAACCTCTTAAGGACTTCATTTCTAAAAAGCGACTAATGACAAATGGACTTACTCAAGAGTCAGACCATCAGAGAAAAGGCAAGAAATATATTCAAATACATTATATTGTAATTCATTCCCAGGGCTGCTGCTCAGAGTAACGGCAGTCCACAGCTCTTCTGCCAACAGCAACAGGCTCTCTCCCCCTCCAGTAGGTGTGTTGTGTGAGGCACGTTTGACCTTCTCTCGCACTCTTTCTCTCCTCATCTCTGGATCAGGGTGTTCCAATAGCTTATATGTAAACAGTTTGCTTGAGCTTGTAAATATTTAGATAGCTTGTTTGATCTTCCCCCACCCTTTGTAGTTACTTTTACTTTTAAATACAATGTCCCTGTTGTGAGTTTCTGATTATTGGGCTAAATACTAAAAATGTTCAACGGGTGTGTAGGTTCATTTCCATAAAGTAGCAGAACTAGTTGTTCCATGCACAATGGTGGACCACAGTAAGTCAATGAAGTGATGTGAGTTGCTATAACACAGTTATTGAATGATATAATTATGTAGAATGAAAACAGAGCTTCAGTTTCTAGTACAGCCTCAGTAACATATTGCTCTGTTTCAGGTCTCTGTTTAAGAAAGGTTGACAGAGCCGTATTGACTATAAAAAGCATCCCAAATACTGACAGCTGTGCCCACAGTACCTTCTCTGTATCTAAAAGTCTGGAGAGTTGATCAACCTCTCTGTCCTTCTCTTGAAGTTTCACCACAAGTTGCTGTGAAAGGAAAGGCGAGGCAGGCTTTATTTACAGAGCACATTTCACACATGGGGGGAAGAATCAACGTGTTTTACATGAAGATAAAATAAAAACATAATACACAGGGAAAATAAATAATCAGCCTGTTCAATAAAAGAAAAAGCTACAAAACAGATGTTTAGATTTAGCAGACGTGTATTAAACTCACAGCGTTTTCTGCCTCTGTGTCTGCCAGTCTCTTGAGTAATGCATCCTTCTGCTCTGACAGCCGCATTGAGTCCATCTGCTCAAAAAAAACAAAATAAAAAACAGTCCACCAACACACATTTTACTGTACAGTATATTGCTTTGGAAAATCCCACAAGACAGCTATTTAGTTTTTTTATAAGAAACATCATAATCATATTCAATTCAATTCAGTTCAATTCAATTTTATTTGTATAGCGCCAATTCATAACAGAAGTTATCTCAGGACACTTCAAATAGAGCAGGTC